ATGATTCCGGACACTGAATCGGTACTCGAACGCCACCGCTACAAGGAGGAAGTCTCACCTCACATCGACGGCTGGACTTCCGGGGGAGAAGGCTTTGGGTCCGAGTTGGACTCATTTCCCGCATCCTCGCCATCGCCTACGTCGTCCACGAAAACATCAACCACACGAGGACAGGAAGCTGTCGCAAATCAAGAGGATGCACCCATTGACGACGCAACCAATAAGGGAGAAGGGGGTGCAGCAAGTGACTTACCTCCAGCTGGCGTCTCTGTTCCTGAAGGTGCTGAAAGCAACGAAATGGAGAATGAGGCAAGTCATATCTATGACTTTGCCTACCCACCTGATGGGATCGAGCTGGCAGTTCATGACGCAACTCCACGGCGGGTTCACTTCAACCCAACTGTGACTGTGCTCGGAGGAGAAGGACAAGTGACGGACACCATGACAGGACTGGACGTGCTGTTTGGGAAACGACAGGCAACACGAGCGTTCAACAAACATCCCAACTTGCAGCAACACGTGCTAGGATGTGCAGCAACCGGCGTCCCCATGGTGGACTTGACATACAAGGAGCCCAAAACGCTCAAAGAGATGACAGCAGATCAGTATGCACCTCTTTGGCAAGCTGCGGTGGATGCAGAGTTGGCAAAATTCGACGAGCTGGAAGCATATAAAGTCGTGGACAGAGCTGACGTACCAAAAGGAGTGTCAGTATTGACAGAAGAAGTCGTGTTGAGGGTGAAACGAGACGAGCACGGGGAGCCGAATCGATTCAAGGCACGCTGGGTGGTGAAGGGATGCGGACAGACTTGGGGAACATACGACGAAACATACGCCCCAGTCAGCCAAGGACCTACCTCGCGCATGTTTGTGCTGGTGCATCGGCCACGAAACGGAAGGTGGTGCAACTTGACATTTCCAACGCGTTCCTTTATGCACCAATCGACAGAGATGTGTACGTGCGACCTCCTGAACCTCGGCGTGAAGGAGACAAGGTCTGGAAACTCAAGCGCAGTGTATACGGACCGAAACATGCACCACGCTTGTGGCATCAACACTTACGGGGTGTCCTGTTGGAGCTAGACATGGTGCAGTCCGAATCTGACCCATCACTATTCCTATGGAAGAGAGAAGGCAAAGACAAGGTATGGCTGCTTACTTACGTTGACGACATCCTCATCCAGTCCCATGACGACAAAGGGATTGAAGCTGTGATTCAACACTTGAAGCAGCACTTTACCGTGACCATCAGCAAGACCATGACGCAGTTTTTGGGGCTCAACGTTGCTATTGACAACGGCTCGATCTCGCTCGGACTCACAAAGTACATCTCACAGGCTTTGGCGACCTTCGGGATGGAGAGCAGCCGTTCCGGAGTTCGGACACCGATCACCAAGGAACCTGGACCACAAGGAGAACCACCGGACGAGATTGATGGTCAATTAGTGCTGAAACAAGTTGGGACATTGCTGTACATTTCAACAGCAGGGAGGCCGGACATCACCTATGCAGCGCATGTACTGGCCAACCAAGCAAGCAAACCAACAGCAACAACAGTGCTTGGAATCCACAGGGTGTTCAACTACTTACAGAACACTGCGGACATCGGGCTGGTCTATGGAGGAGAGGACTTGGTGCTCCGCGGATACACAGACTCGGATTATGCGAACGAAACAGGGCGTCACTCCGTTGGAGGCTACGCATTTACCTTGGGAGGAGCTGCCGTCAGTTGGAGGACTAAACGGCAAACTGTCATTGCAACATCTACAGCTGAAGCAGAATACATTGCACTGTTCGAAGGGGCAAGGGAAAGTACATACCTTCGCCGCTTGTGTGAAGACCTCGGTTTTCGACAGCAAGAACCTACTGTCATCTTTGTGGATAACCAAAGCGCAATTGCACTTGGAACCGGGGAGCAGATGAGTCAACGCACCAAGCACATGGACGTCCGTTACCATTGGACGCGGAAGGCCGTTCGTGATGGAGTTGTGCGGCCGGAGTACTGCCCGACAGCTCAGCAGGCTGCGGATTATCTCACCAAGCCCCTCACAGCAAAGCAACATCTCACTTGCAGCCTCTTGTGCGGTCTCCAACCACTTCCACATGGAGCCCCGTCTGCACCCAGTCCTCACATTGAAGCCGCTAGAGCTGCACGCTCATGTCCGGGCCTCTCAAGGGGTGGTGGACAACAATCACGTAACTTCACACATCTCACTCATGTGTTTGGTGCTGTGTGCGTGCTCACGCATGTGCATGGCTACCAACACACGAGTGAGAGGGGGAGTGGGGTGTGGCGTATTTTGGGGTGCAACCATTCGGGATCTGATCGCACAACCATCTTTCATTTTCGCCATTACAAGAGTCAGCACATATGCATCAAGAGAAGACCTACTGCAATCAGTGACAAGAGCAGCCATCAAATTCTGTTGGACAGTCGCTGCTGGTCGGTCACAACCACTCGCCAACTGCAACGGCCGTTCCTGAAGACTTCATATGCCTGCTGGTTTCAAGGGGGGAAGAAACAAGTCAGCATAAGTCAGCATGAGGCAAGCAGACAGAGGAAATCACAAGAAACTGCTGACAAAGTCCTACTAAATACAAGGGAAGACAGCTGGAGTCAGACGCTGCTGGGACTGCTCACCAAGGTGACACAGGTGCTGCTGATACCGCTGCCACCCAGTGCTAGAGCTGCACCAATGCAAGCGGCCAGGGAATCAGGGAGAACTGCTGCAGGCCCGGTGCTGCAGGGCTTCAGGTGCTGCAGGGCGTCAGGGGGAGCTGCTGCAAGCGACCGGTGATGCTACTGCCGCCAGTCAGGTGGTGCTGGCAGAAGTTTGCAGAAGCAGCCGCCAGGTGCAGGAGCAGCCGCCAGGTGCAGGGGCAGCCGCCAGGTGCTTGTGTACCAGTTGCAGCTGCTTCCGTCCGCCACCTGGTATAGGGGGAGTGGCACAGGGCAACATGGAGCAACACAAGGTCAAGGGGGGCAGCACAGGGTAACATCACAGGGTACAACGGGTAACATGGGTGAAACAGTCAGGTTCGATGAAGCATTCTCACCTCGGTAGGAAGGAGAAAGCCGTGCGCCAGGAGTAGCAGTAGTGGGCCGCCAGAAGTAGCAGCAGTGGGCCGCCAGGAGCAGCAGCCGTGCGCCACCAGGAGCTGCAGACGTGCGCGCCAGAGCGCCAGGTGCCGATGCCGGCTGCAGCCGCTCACGCTCGCTAGCTGGTATGGGCGGGGGCAAGGAAAATCACAAGAGAATGTGGGAGCAGTAACAAGTGACTTAGCACGGTCAGTGCTGCAGTACATCAATTGCAAGAAACACACATGAGTGAGGTCAAGGTGCAAGCAGTGGTAGTTACACGGAGAAGGGCTACTCACCTCGTCACTAGCACAAGGTCGCCCGAAATGGCAAGGGGAGGGCGCGCACCAGCAGAAGCCGCCACATGCGATGTAATGCAGCGGCGCGCATGCTGCTGCAGTCGTGCGCCAGCCGCTGCTGCCGATCGCCACGGGCGCCATGAACAGCAGTCGCGCGCAAGGAGCTGCAGCGCGCAGGTTGTCAAGCGAGGAGGTCACGGCAGCCGCGCGACCGAAGCAGCAGTCGCGGATCTGGCCGCAACCGCAGGAAACGCACATCTGGCGCTGCAGGTCGCCACGTGCGCTGCTGTCACCGAGCGCCAGCCATGACATGGCGAGTGCTAGTGATGCGCGCTAGCTACAGCTGAAGGACATCGCGCCATGGCGCAGCACAACGCACACCAGAAAATCGTCACGACTAAAGCAGCAGTCGCGCGACAGCAAAGGAAATCGGGTCAGCACTGGAAGGCGGAAAAAGCAGCGCGTCCTAGGTCACATGACCAGAAAGAAGCCGTGCGCCATGAAGATATTCGCCAGCAGCAGCTATCCTAAGACGAAGGGAGGCAATCTGCTCTGCTGCTGGGAATCGCGCTGACCGTGGACATCGTCAGCGGTGGCAGCAGCCATGGCTAGGAAACTATCGATCTGGAAGCTCCTGCACTAAACGAGACAAGTGGCAATCGGAAATGGCGAAATGACTTGACCCCTGCTGGAGAAGGGTGTGGGAGAAACGGGAGGTGTGCATGGCGACAAACTGAACCAAGAGCCTGACAAGGGAGCGACCAGTGCACAGAAGTTCGAGAGGGTGGGACGAGAACCAGAAACCCTCGACCTGAACGAGGGTCGCGAGAATTGTGAGGCGGAGAATCAGAGCGCAGCAGCGAAACACCTGAGCAAGGAAACGTGCATCTGAGGAAATTGGGAACGTGCGGGAGACATCGTAACTGCTGCAACAGTGTTTCCGACCAACGCGGTGTCAATGGAAACCCAACGGCTGAGTCTTCACCGCAATTACCGCCGTGACCAAAATCAGTTCCGGATTCCACTCCACCACCCTATCGCCTCCGCAATCAACGCCATTTACACGTTATCCTCCACAAACAAACTCACTAAAATCTACAGCAAGGGGGAGTGTTGGAAATACAATCATAAAGTAAATTTATATGCTGTTAGATATTAGTGTAGTACCCTTTTGTAAGACTCCAGGTCCTACAATAATTGTGCAATTATTGTAGGGCCAGAATTATTGGGGGTCTAGAATTATTGGAGGGTAAGAGTTATTGGTGGGTAGCATTATTGGTGCACCATTATTGGTGTGGATGGGTGGACTTTGGAGGGTTAGGTGCTTAGATAAATACCTTGCTGTGTGGTGCCACAATATATTCCATTGTTCTGAGTCCTTTCAGTTGCAAAGTTTCTCTTGCTACTTTCTACAATCAAGCTTCCGCTACGACGGCACTATGCCTTTCTAGCAATCTTGCTCCTCTGTTTCGCCACTGAATTTTAGGGGAGTGGAGTAGGCAGAAAGAACTGTGTGAAGAAACATGGGGGAGGTGGTGTGAGATGCAAGGGAACAACCGCAAGGGGATACAAGCAAGCGCTGAAGAAAGCATGCATGGGGAGACAGTGATGGGTGCACATGCATGGGAACTAGAGGGCGGAAGGCGAGGAGTGAGGGGGAAGGGGAGGGCATGAAAAGGAAGGGAAGGGTTGAGAAGGGATGGGGAAGGGAATGGCAGGGCAGGGAGGGAAAGGCAGGGATTGGGAGGGCAGGTGGCAGAGGGTGGGGGGAAGGAGAGTGAGAGGGCAAGAGGACTGAGAGAGAGTGTGTGTGGGAGGAAGGAGAGTGAGAATGCGGGAGGAAGGAGATAGAGAGTGTGGGTGCAAGGAGAGAGAGAGAGATGGGGGGAAACAAGGAGGGGGATGGGGGGAAGCAGGGAACGGGATGGGGGGAAACAAGGAGGGGGATGGGGGGAAGCAAGGAAGGGGATGGGGGGAAACAGGGAGGGGGATGGGGGGAAGCAGGGAAGGGGATGGGGGGAAACAGGGAGGGGGATGGGGGGAAGCAGGGAAGGGGATGGGGGGAAACAGGGAGGGGGATGGGGGAAGCAGGGAAGGGGATGGGGGGAAACAGGGAGGGGGATGGGGGGAAGCAGGGAAGGGGATGGGGGGAAACAGGGAGGGGGATGGGGGGAAGCAGGGAAGGGGATGGGGGGAAACAGGGAGGGGGGTGGGGGGAAGCAGGGCGGAGGGTTCCTCTCACCCTCTGTCTCTCACTCTCTGCCCCTCCCCCTCTGTTCCTCCCCCTCCGTCCTTCCCCTGTGTCTCTCCCCCTTTGTCCTCCCCCCTCTGTGTCTCCCCTTCTGTCCTCCCCCCTCTCCCCCTTGTCCTTCCCCTTCTGTCCGTGGGAAGGAAGGAGCGAGAGAGAGGATGGGAAGGAAGAAGCGCGAGAGATAGATAGATAGAGAGAGAGAGAGAGAGAGAGAGAGAGAGAGAGAGAGAGAGAGAGAGAGAGAGAGAGAGAGAGAGAGGGAGAGAGATAGAGAGAGGGAGAGAGAGAGAGAGAGGGAGAGAGATAGAGAGAGGGAGAGAGAGAGAGTGAGTGAGAGAGAGAGGGAGGGAGAGGGAGAAAGAGAGGGAGGGGGTGAGGGAAGAGAGGGAGAGGGAGAGGGGGACAGAGGAAGAAAGGTCACGAGCAAGGTAGGGAGGGACGGAGGGAGAGAAAAGAGAGGGGAGACGGAGAGATGGAGGGAGAAAGAGAGGGAGAGCGGACAAAGGTTGGTTATTAGGGGGGAATCCTATATGGAGGGGATTATGACGGGTATGGGGAAGCACGCACGAAATAAAGAGGCAGGAGCGATTAGGAGAACGCGCGCAAAATAAAGAGGCGGGGGCGATGAGAAGCGCGCGCCCAGTAACATCCCAAATTTGGGGGGCCCCGAAAGGTATGCTTTCGGGGGGTATGTCTGGGGTAGCAGTTTGAGCTGAGTGGGGAAAGTTACTTTCGACGCGTCGCGTCTCAGCGAAATCGGCCAAGGCAGCTACGGAATTCTCCCAAATTCTTGGGCAACCAGCTTGGCAGCTTCGGAAATCACTCGAGTGGTTGAGCATGTTAGGGTGGCAGCTTCGGTGGCACAAAACAGCTTCGGTACTGATAAGGAAGGTCTGGAACAAGGCTTTCGTGTCCCATGTCAGAATGTTATGTTTGTCTAGCCTGCAGTGGGGTACTCAATAGTGAGTACAGCCCAATTTAGGGTTTGCTATATGTACTCAACTGCTTGCTAGTGAAACTTCTTCTCCTTCCATTCATTCCTCAATTTCTTCACATGGTATCAGAGCTGGTTCCCTCCTGGGACTGTTCCTTCCTAGGGCCCACCACTTCGCTAAACTTTTTTTTTTCTGCCCTGCCCTTAGCGCGTTTCGCGCTCTGCCCTGCTGCCCGTCGCGGCCCTTCGTGTCAGATTTATATGACATAGCTACTGTAGGCTATAGTGGGGTAGCACATATGGGGTACAGTTTTCTAGGGTTTGCTTCTTGTACCCAACTTTCACTTAGTCATTTCATTCCTCGTTTCTTATCATGGTATCGAGCAGGTTCCCTAGTGGGAACGATTCCTAGGGCCCACCACCACGAAAATTTTTTTTTTCCTGCCCGGAGCGCGTTTTGCGCCGGCCCGAGTCGCGCCGCCCTTTCGGCCCGTCGCGCCCGTCGCGCCCGTCGCGCCCGTCGCGCCCATCGCCACCTACCTCCGCGGCCCCGCCACCTACCTTCGCGGCCCCGCCACCTCACTGCGCGGCCCCGCCACCTACCTCCGCGGCCCCGCCACCTACCTCCGCGGCCCCGCCACCTACCTGTGCGGCCCCGCCACCTACCTGTGTGGCCCCGCCACCTACCTTCGCGGCCCCGCCACCTCACTGTGCGGCCCCGCCACCTACCTCCGCGGCCCCGCCACCTACCTGTGCGGCCCCGCCACCTACCTTCGCGGCCCCGCCACCTCACTGTGCGGCCCCGCCACCTACCTCCGCGGCCCCGCCACCTACCTGTGCGGCCCCGCCACCTACCTTCGCGGCCCCGCCACCTCACTGTGCGGCCCCGCCACCTACCTCCGAGGCCCCGCCACTTACCTTTACGGCCCCGCCGCCTCCTCCCAGCGGCCCCGGACGCCGCCCTCTCAGCGGCCCCGCCGAGCCGCCCAGCAGCCAAGCCGCCCAGCCGCCGAGCCGCCCAGCAGCCGAGCCGCCCAGCAGCCGAGCCGCCCAGCAGCCGAGCCGCCGAGCCGCCCAGCCGCCGAGCCGCCCTGTCCGCAGCCGAGCCGCCCAGCAGCCGAGCCGCCCCGCCGCCGAGCCGCCCAGCCGCCGAGCCGCCGAGCCGCCCTGCAGCCGAGCCGCCCGAACCGCCCTGTCCGGTAAGAGCAGCGCCTCTCTCACAGCACTGCCCTCGCCCTACTGTTTGCACTGCTAGTCTACTGCTGTCATGGCTACCCCTAGTGTCCTCGCTTTTGACGCTGAGGGTCGGGCCATTGACTTTGACGTCTGGATAGATGACCTGCAGCTTTTCTTACAGTGCGACAGAGCAGACGGCCTCTCCCTCTTTGACCTCACTTCTGGTGCCTCTCCTGCCCCCGCTGCTGATGCTGACGCCACCGTTCGCTCACAGTGGGCCACGCGCGATGCTGCTGCACGTCTTGCTGTGCGTCGCCACCTCCCTACCTCTGAGCGTGCGCACTTTAGCCAGTACAAGAGTGCTCAGACCTTGTACGACGCTGTAGTTGCACGCTACTCCTCCCCTGCCACTGCTGCACTGAGCCGCCTCATGCTACCGTACCTCTTCCCTGACCTTGCTGCCTTTCCCACAGTCGCTGACCTCATTACGCACCTCCGCTCTAGTGACACTCGCTACCGCGCTGCGCTTCCTGCTGAGTTCTGCGCCAAGAACCCCCCCCCAATGTACATCACCCTCTACTACATAGTCACCCGTCTCCCTGACTCCCTTCGCGTAGTCAGGGACCACTTCCTCTCGGTTTGTCCCACCACTCTCACCGTTGACCTCCTCGAGAAGGCCCTCCTAGCAGCAGAAAAGAGCATAGTCGCTGTAGGAGCCTCTCGTGGTGACCCTCGCACCCCCATCTTTGAGGGGTGTTCCCCCTCCCCTCTTTTGCCCTCTGTTGCCTCTGCTGCTGCGGCCGACCTCGCTGGTTTGGAGTCGGTTGGGGCAGCGTCTACCCCTAGCGGGAGACGCCGCCCTGGCAGGGGCAAGGGGGGCAGGGGCGCTGGAGGAGCTAGCGGGGGCGGTGGAGGCGGCGGTGGAGGTGGTGGAGGAGGTGGGGGTGGCGGTGGGAGTGGTGGCGGGGGTGGAGGTGTAGGTGGCGGCAGTGGAGGCGCAGGAGGCAGCGGCGGTGGCGGAGGGAGCGGAGGTGGCGGCGGTGGAGGAGGTGGCGGAGGAGGAGGTGGAGCTGGTCGGGGTGGCGCTGCGCAGAGGGTCAGCTCCGGTGGTGGTCAGCGCCAGCAGCAGCAGCAGCAGCAGCAGCAGCAGCAGCAGCAGCAGCGCACTCGTGACGTCCCCTCCCCTCAGCAGCTCCGTGAGTGGTACACTGCACGCCAGAGGGGTGGGGGTGCTGGTCCGTGCACCTACGTCCTGCGCACCGGTGACCGCGCGGGTGAGCAGTGCGGGGGTGCGCACTCCACCCAGCGCTGCTTTGGCCGCCTCACGGACGCTTGGCGTCACCAGTTCCCTGAGGCCACTGAGATCCCCCGCTGGGGTGAGCTGTCTAGGGCGGGTGTAGCTGTCTTTGACCTTGACTTTGATGCTATTCTTGCTGCCGTGTATACTGTGACTATTAGTGATGAGGGTGACTGTTACCGGTGTTTTCCGCCCGACCCGGGCATTGAGACTGCTGCTCTAGGTACTGGTGAGGCTGCTGCTCTAGGTGCTAGCGAGGCTGCTGCTCTAGGTGCGTCTGCTCCCTCAGGTGCTGGTGAGTCTGCTCTCTCAGGTTCTGCGTCGGCTTCGGCCTCCCACACCTTCACACTTGACTCGGGGGCTTCTCGCTCCTTCTTTCGAGACCGCACCACACTCACGCCGCTTGGCCGGCCAGTTGCGGTCTCCCTGGCAGACCCCTCTGGGGGTCCTGTCCTTGCTCACTTCTCCACTGTCCTCCCGTGTCCGGCGGCCCCCTCTGGCACCCTGTCTGGTCTCTACCTCCCCTCGTTCTCTACGAACTTGGTGAGTGGTGCTGACCTACAGGATGCGGGGGTTCACCAGTTCACTCCTGCGAGTCAGCGGGTGACCCACTGCACGGACGCTCGGACAGGCCGCCACCTGGCCACGTTTACACGTCGGCCAGGGTCGAGCCTGTACACACTGACCACTGCGTCTCCTCCAGTCCCTGCGTCTGGTCAGGTAGCTGCGTCGGGTCAGGTGTTTGCTGCAGCGTCCAGGTCTGGTCCTGAGTCTGCCCCCTGCTCGTGTCGCCTCCTGTCTCACGAGACTCTCCTCTGGCACCACCGCCTTGGCCACCCCTCCCTGCTTCGTCTCCGGAGCATGGCCTCCCGTGTCCTTGTCTCTGGTCTTCCCCGGTCCCTCCCTCCCCTTCCTCCGGGGCCAGGCCCTACCTGCGTCCCCTGTGTCGAGGGACGGCAGCGGGCTACCCCTCACTCCTCCCAGTTTCCTCCGACAGAGGCCCCGCTGCAGACGCTTCACATGGACGTGTGGGGCCCGGCCCGCGTCCGTGGACAGGGTCACGAGCGCTACTTCCTGCTGGTGGTTGACGACTACTCGCGTTACACCACAGTCTTCCCCTTGCGCAGCAAGGGTGATGTCACTGAGGTGTTGATCGACTGAATCCGCGCAGCTCGTCTCCAGCTCAGGCGGAGCTTTGGCTCGGACTTTCCTGTTCTGCGTCTGCACTCTGACAGAGGCGGAGAGTTCTCCTCTGGCCTTCTGCGAGCCTACTGTCGTGCACGAGGCATCCGCCAGACCTTCACGCTTCCGGACTCTCCACAGCAAAATGGGATTGCTGAGCGCCGCATTGGCATGGTCATGGACGTCGCCCGTACGTCCATGATGCATGCGGCTGCCCCCCATTTTCTGTGGCCGTTTGCGGTTCGGTATGCAGCGCATCAGATCAACCTTCACCCCAGGGTCTCCATGCCGGAGACCTCCCCAGCTTTGCTGTGGACGGGGAAGGTTGGCGATGCGTCTGCGTTCCGTGTCTGGGGATCTCGGGCGTTTGTCCGCGACTTGTCTGCGGACAAGCTGTCCCCTCGTGCTGCTCCTTGCGTCTTCCTGGGTTTCCCCCCTGACGCCCCAGGGTGGCAGTTCTACCACCCCACCTCTCGCCGTGTTCTGTCCTCCCAGGACGTCACGTTCGACGAGTCGGTCCCCTACTACCGCCTCTTCCCCTACCGCACTCCGTCCCTCCCCCCGCCACCGCTCTTCCTTGTACCAGGTCCCCCCCC